GTTCATCTCTCTTAGAAAAAAATTGTATTACTTATAGAGATTTATAATTTTAAGAGTAAATCATGAACATAATTGAAGTGGTTAACCTCGTAGGTTTGAGTCTACTTATGATTGGTTTTATTTTAAAATCTTCATTTTCTCTCTTTCTCTTCCATTTCTTCTTTCATCCAAAATGAACTGCTTTTAATTCATTTACTTGCATCTTGAGCAATTATGAGTGTAGTTTTTCATGCCCTGGTCAGTAATGTATATAATTTACCAAATGTTTCTCAAACAATACATTTAGTTTTTTATGCCCTGGTCAGTGGTATACATAATTTAGTAAATGCCTTTCATAGAACAGATTTGGTTTATCGTACTCTAGTCAGTGACATATATCGTTTGTCAGGTATGTCCAACAAATATGGATTTGGTTTTTAATGCCTGATCAATGACATACATAATCCATACACCGCTAATAGAATAGAATGGAATGTATGTTTTCAGGTAACTCTTTGCCTCTGATAGAATGAGATGTATGTTTTCAGGTAGCTCTTTGCCTCTGATAGAATGGAATGTATGTTTTCAGGTAACTCTTTGCCTCTGATAGAATGGAATGTATGTTTTCAGGTAACTCTTTGCCTCTGATAGAATGAGAATGTATGTTTTCAGGTAACTCTTTGCCTCTGATAGAATGGAATGTATGTTTTCAGGTAACTCTTTGCCTCTGATAGAATGGAATGTATGTTTTCAGGTAACTCTTTGCCTCTGATAGAATGGAATGTATGTTTTCAGGTAGCTCTTCTTCATATCAATGAAAGGGAAGCATTACCACCTCCTCAACTACAACAAAAAATACGAGACTTCCATAAAGGGAATCCTGAGCTTACAGAAGCAGTGAGTTTCTTTTTTCATAAAATTGCGTATGCTAACAGCTGAGTATTCTAAAACCATTTCTTTTGTGTGATTAGTTTATACATTTCTATGAGCAAGTTATCTGTGGTTTGGTGTTTAAGATTTACGAATGTTGTTCATTTTTTACCCAATCTAACTTTTAAGTTGCCTAGTTTCATGTTATGCTACTTAAAATCCTATCTATTCCCAGTGGCTTCACTTTAGATGTGTTTTACACCTCCCACTCAATAATTTATTTGATATACTAGTCATCATGTAATTGTATTCAATCCAGTAGAGAAATGGAAAAGTACCTCAGAAATAAAGATACAATCAAAATGTTTTAATATACGAGCTAATTTCATGAAAATTACTGATTTAGTGCAGTTACTATGTATAGAGAATTACTCTTCATACCACTACAACTTCTGTGTTATAGGATGAATTGGTAGCTGCAATGTGTGGTTGTGTATTTATTGCATGATCTCAATGTCCAAAAGAAGTAAACAAAATTGTTTTTTTTCCAACATTCATTCAGAAAAAAAAAAAATTATCATGCACTTATTTTAAGTATTTTTCTTAAAGCATTATTTAAGCTTCCTCAACAATCTTCGTGTTCGAGAGTTCTGTGGAGCCGTAGAGAGTCTGTATCATCACTTTGATCGAAGCACCTTGATTGTTCCCCAAGATTCAAAAGCTGTTACAGTTACAGAGGAGACGACACGAAGTTTTCGTTATGCTGCTCTAAATTTGGCAATTCTTCATGCGAAATTTGGACACAGGTTTAAATGATTTTTCATTATATTATCATTTTTAAACAATGTACCTATCAAAAAAAAAGAAAAAGATACATAAGGTTGTTTTTTTTTTATTCAGTGTTTGGCCTGTAATCATTTTGTACTTGTGTGTGTGTGTATTCATAATATAAAAAACACGTAGAGTTAAAAAATTAGGTAAATCACATTAAAAAATTTAAACCCTAGCACAAGACTGGATAAAAATTATATGATGTACTTTACATTGTATTAAATTTTACCATATTTCCAATTTTGTCTTTAATTCTGTGCTATTTTACATTTGAATCTGGTTTTTTATTGAATAGAAAATAAAATAATAAAGGATAGAAATAGAGACTAATAAATAATAATTATAAGTTTTCTGATCTTGTCTTTAACTTTCAAATTGTTTTTTTGTACCCCATGACCACAGCCATCTAATTAACAGATATCTTCGGGTTGCACCCCGATTTGGAACATATGTTCATACTTTTCACTCCATTTCACTATTTTTGGTCTATACCTGAAAAATACGGGTCCACCTTTTCAAAAGTGCTCGGGTTTCATCATATTTTTTAATTTGCATGCAATAACTAATTTAGATGGGAAATAGTTCCATCTTATTTTCGTCAAAACCAGGGGTGAAATTCTGCTGGTACTCACTGGTACTGAGTACCAGGACTTACTTTTAAGGCAGTATTAGTACCAGGACTTATTTGAGCTGCTTTTTTGGATGCGTTGCGTTCCATTGTTCCATCAGAAAGCATTTATTCATCGACACTCAAATTTTTGTTTTTTACGTTTACATGTAGATTTTTCTTTTTCAAGCACAGGTTCACTTCACCCAGTAAAGTACCTATACTTTTTTTATGGTGTTATGTAAATTATCTTTACCTTAAGTTTGAGAAGTAATAGGTTAGTAATCTAAACACATGATGAAAGGTCTTCTTTTTTTTTTTGTTGTTGTTCTTTTCAACTTTAGGCACCAATATAGCTTCTGGTTCAGTTGAAACTTGGGTAGAAATAGAAACAAAGTGATAAAACTTAGTTTTTGATTGATATATTGGTAAAAAAAAAACATGCTTGTAAACAAGTTCCATCATAAATATAGGCCTAATTTTTTTAAAGCTTACACAAAGCTTGATTTATCGTTTTATACTTGAATTATAGTTTTGCAGTGTAGTAAGTATTTTTTCTGGATTAACATCAACTTGATTATTGTTAGGTGTAGTTTAGGTCATTTTACACTTGACAATAATGAGTTACATTTTGCTAACAAGGCTTTGTGTTTACATTCATCCTTATTGGTCGAAACAGCTGGTTAAGTGGATAAAGAAAAGAATTGAAATGAAATGTCAAAAGAAATTAATTAATATAAAACAGGTTTAAAACATATTAAATGTGTTAAGCCTTCTGACTCATCATAATGAAAAAAAGACTTTACTTTTAATTTTAGTAAAATAAAGTTATTTTTATTGTACAGCAGTGATTGTAAACTTAAACTGCACATAATGTTTTTCAAATCAAAATAAAGACAAAATTTACAGTTTTATAGAATAAAAAAGTATTGGATAGCTATACAGGAACATAGGAAGATGTAAAAAATCAGTAATTGAAGTGAAAAAATTTCACAAAGAAATCTTTTCAAATTTGTAAAGCTGAAAATCTCCACTTTACTAAATACATAATTTGTGTATAAAATTCATCTCAAGTTTAAAATATATTTTATCAAATATATAATTTTTTTTGTTATGAAATACAGTGAAACAAACCATATAATGGCTGCATCAAATCAATTCACCAGGCATTTAAGGGTTAGTTATATGACTACGTAAAACAAAAAAATTTGTTTACATTTAAATAATATTAATCGAAGATAGCATTACCAATGTTGAAAGATAAGTAGCTTTACTTTGTTAATGCATCATTGTTATAAACCTGGCAAGTACAAGTTGGGTGCTATATGACAGCAATAGGATTTCGTTCTCCACAGATGATTTCTGGTTAGAATTTTTGTTACTAAACACTTACACCTCCTGAAGTAAATGGTTAAGTAAGGTTGTGTAAGTTAAGCATCGTGTAGTTAACTGTTATGATACTAATCTGTGGAAGAACAGCACCTGTTATTTTAGTTATATTTTATACTTTCTCTAAGTGATAGGAAATAAGACATTTTTTGAAGCCCAGATGGTAGCAGTCGGTTCAGCTGGTAAGCAGTATAATAAATATAATACTTGTATTAATCTATTTACAAAAGTAGGTTTATTTGTATGCAGTGTAGTGTGGTATGTATAAATTTTTGCTTAAAAATATGTTTATTAAAATAAACTGTAAGCTTAGAAGGATATTAAAAATTGTTTACATATTTTCTCAGCTGTTAGTTAGATATAATGAAATAACAAGCGTTACACGTTTTTCATTAAAAAACAAAAAAAAAGCCCCCCCAGTGGCACAGCGGTATGTCTGCGGACTTACAACACTAGAATCCGGGTGTCGATACCCGTGGTGGGCAGAGCACAGATAGCCCATTGTGTAGCTTTGTGCTTAATTAAAAAAAAACAAACAAACATAAAAATAAACAGAGAAACATTGTGAGAAACAGCATGAATTTTGCGCATGTTGTAATATTGCTTGAAGTCATTTTTATGCTTTTGCTGAATAAATGCTAAGAAAAATTTCTAGAAGGAGGATATATATATACACACAAGCATACACATGTATTGTGGTATTTACAAAGGAGGATATATGTATATATACACACACACACATGTATTGTGGTGTTTACAAAGGAGGATATATGTATACACACACACACACACACACACACACATGTATTGTGGTATTTACAAAGGAGGATATATGTATATATACACACACACACATTGTGGTATTTACAAAGGAGGATATATGTATATA